GCCTTGGAGGTGGTGATGGTGGCCTTGGAGGTGGTGATAGTGGCCTTCGTATTGGTAGTGGTGGCCTTGGACGTGGGGCTAGTGGCATCCCACTCATTCTCTGCAATCGTAGGCGACTTCTAGGCCTGATAATCGGTCTTCGGATCTGCAACCGTGATCGGTTGTTGCTGGTACCTGTGCTTGTTGCAACAGGTATTGCTGATGCTGCTGATGCTGCTGCTGCTGTTACTGCTGCTACTACTACTTCCGGCAAGACTTCCGGATAGATGATGGCTGCTTGCTGTGGTATCTCTTGGGTATACAAAATTGGCGGTGGTGGCGGTGGTGGTGGTTGCAATGGCAATGGTGGCGGTGGTGGCGGTGGCAATGGCGGTGGCAATGGCGGTGGTGATGGTGGTGGAGATGCCATGATTGCATCTTGCACGTCTTGGATGGCTTGTGCTTGCTCTGAGGAACCTGTGTCCTCTATAAAAGATATTTGAATTAATATAAACCACGTCATTTGGTATCAATTCCAGTATGTAGTTCACTTACCATTCTCTACAACTTCTTGTGGTTCAGGAGTGCCAGGAACAGCATCCGGCACGTCGATGTCTGGCTCATAGATGTCGAGCCTGTCGAGAGCTTCGCCTATAAAAATGAATCAATTAGTATCAATGTATTGTTGAAATAATGATCCTTTCATAAAGAATACTTACAAAGCTCGTCAATGGATGATGATGATGAAGAAGAAGATGCAGATGATGATGATGTGGATGATGCAGATGCCAATGATGATGATGATGATGTAGATGATGTGGTTGATGCAGATGCCAATGATGAAGATGATGTAGATGATGAAGATGCAGATGATGATGCCAATGATGAAGATGCAGATGAAGATGCAGATGAAGATGCTGGTGATGAAGATGCAGATGACAATGAAGATGCAGTTGATGAAGATGCAGGTAATGAAGATGCCGATGATGCTGATGAAGATGATGATGATGATGTTGTTGCTGCTGTAGTAGTAGTAGACGTTGGTGCCGGTAAGCCGTACACATGCTGCATGGCTTTATGCATAGCCATTCCTCGAAGCAACTTTGGTGGTGACCGTGTGCTTGTAACTTGCTTGGATGGTTTGAAAATATCCACAGCTGATGATGGGTTGATAACCGCATCACCCTCCAAGGCCGACATGTTGCCATGACGACGCACTTGTGCTACTGGTCGTGTAGAAAACAACATACCAGGATACTCGCAGGCTTGCGCCTTGCACTGAACCACTGGAGCTACCCAGGGTTGACGATTAGCCAAAACAACAGGG